ATATTATGATGAGGGTCCTGATTTAAGTGTACCATGAAACAACGAAACAAATATTAGCAGAAAACGTTCGGGCGTTTACTCTGTTTGAAAAAATTTATTACATTCCTCATACTTTTTTTCATCGTTGCTAATGAAAAGCGATTTTTTGTTTAATTCAGACCAATCTGTTTGACGGTGCAAAGAAGTACTTAATTTATGACGTGCATGACTATGTTTACGCATGCAGTTTTGATTTGCAGGTTTCATGTCATATTTTAGGTGTGTGGTACTGGTGCGTCGAGCGCGAAGGGCATTGTCGCTTAATCAGTGTTACTGGTTAGTGAGTAGCTGGGTGGTTATGATTGCATCGGCCTTGTAATAGGGTATTGGATTGGTCGGATTGTCGCTACTGTTTTCTGACCGTGTAGTTCGCGCAGTATTAAGTAGCGACCGATTGTCGATGTCTGCCTGAGTAGTCTTGAATTTGTTTCCGTCGGTACTGATAGTTCTCGGGTGCCATGCTTCATGCCTTTTCTTCTGACTTTGCAAATGTATCTGCATCATCTTTTATCGGAGGTCTCAAGTTTAACTTGTTACTTTATGATAGCATGCTACTAACAGCATGGCTCGAAATACGTGTCTTTATCTAATGTTATTGTGCCGTAGCTGCGGTCAGCGGGTTTTACCATATCGTAAAGGGTTTCAGTGTTTACAGTTTTTACTAATGTTTTGTAAACTTAGTCGAATTTTTAAAATGGAATCTGACTAATATATTTAATAAAAAGTTTTTCAAACTAGTTGCGACTTAAGTTTGTGCTCTTCTAAAGCCCTGAGGTTAAGGTTTAACTGACTTCATAATAGACATGAGCAAAGTGATAAACTCCTCCAGTGGGGTGCTAATGTAATTTCGATCAGTTATTTTATTGTGCTCAAGTGGAACATTACTTCTGAACGCAAATGATGTGACTGCAATGAACTGTCTATATTTAAAAATTATGCCGTCTGCCAGTTTTCCGTGTAGTGACAGTACTACAGTTTCTTGAAGTTCAGGTTTTTAAATTTTGAGCAAATTTGAACGTGGTTAAAAACGACCAGACATTGTGCATATTTGTACCGAATGAAACTAATGACGCGAAATTATACGATGTGCCCCAAAGATTTCAGATGTACGCTTATCCTTTCACTTTACAGCAAAAGTTTAGAAAAACTACGAATAAAACGGACATCGGAAACCAGAGAGGTTTTGCTTATGTAAATCGCTCAAGGTGATGATCTCAACAGAGATGCGTTTCGTTGATGTATATGCGCATTACTTGCGGTGATGTCTTTGTGTGGTTTGATATTTGATAATTAACTCGC